GTCGAGTGCAGCTACATATTCTAAACTAAAAACTAAGATCTGGATTTTGAAAGTCATGTACCCCAAATATATGAATTACACTTGGGTTTTGAATATAAATGTGGTATTGAATAAGAACCAAAGTTCTGAACCATTTGGAAGCCCTTTCTTCTTTGAGAATCCAAGGACAGGAGCTCAAAGGGTGTGTGTTGTCTCTGTGGTAGTAACAAGCCTCCTAACTGACAAAATGGGGGCTTATGACTTCGTGAGATGGGCAGTTAAGTCATGGTTGAAATTCCTGGTTGAACTATGAAGAGCACGATGTATTAAAATAGTTACAGATAACAGTGATGATGATATCCAGACACTACAGTATCAATGACATAAAGTGGACCCATTAGCACTGAGGTGAAAATGGTTCCTGATATGGCTAAAACATAACAGGATGTTCACTGAATTTAAATTTTGTGCAATTTTTATGGATTGTTGAAGTTTTGAAAGAGTTATGCTTCAAGTATTCTATACTATCCATGAACTAAAGCAAATCAACAGAGAAAGACATTTAGAGATGGTCAGAGGATTGTTCCTGCTACAACTCCCCTGAAGAGTATGACTATGTCCTCTGTGTCCTGTTCTTACCATGCCAAAGTGAGCATACCTGGTAGAATCAGACTGGAATCCCAGCCTCCTCTCAGCACACACACTGATAAGGTTGTGGGCAATTAATGAGAAGTTCCTGTTATGAGTCCCCTGCACCAGCAGAGGGTGGCATAACTGCAGCAAAGATTTTCCAGTGTTCTTCGGGGGAGGGGCAGCCCTGGAGGTCAAAACAGAAACTCAGAGGAGTCCATTCTATGATCTGAGCTGTAGTGCTTACATTGGGTCAGATTTACATTTTAAGACCACATGACACTATCAGGGTTATGGGAAGCATCTAGGAGATGTATTGAATAGGACTCCCAGAAGTACTATCCTGAGCAACTCCCACAGCACTGAGAAGTCTCTGGAGAGACTACACAGAGTCCCAAGTATACTAGTTGACACTCAGTGTGAGAGAATGGGTTCCCAGGGCCTGGGTTCTTTGCCCAAGATGGCATTCTGTGTCTTCTCCCCACTCTCCAGGCAGTCCAGGACTGACTTGTTTTCTCCTGATCATTTCTAGAAATCTTCTCCCCTTTCCTTTAGCTCATCTCCAGCGAAATCTGATGCCACAATCCAGCACCTGTGCTCACATGATCAGGGAGGGGACACTTTGTGACTGTCCCTGGATGAGCCTCTTTAGACTCTGGAGACTAATGTGGACTATCAGCTGCATCAGTTCACAGTTCTGAAAACAGGGATTTCCTTGGGTGTGACCCACCTGTTTTTCAGCTGTAGGAGCTCTGTACAACTGTACACTCACTACATTCACCTAGAAGAGAGGGACTAGAGGGGGATTGTCAGGGAGGTCTGATGAACTAGACTGGCAGTGTTTGCCTCCTTAAACACTGACACAAAATGGGCAAGAATGAATTCCTCACCATAGTTACTGCTCTATTGTGGAAACAGTGACACCATAGGAGGAAGCAGTGACTGTATCTGAAATAAAACAAGGAATTGTGAAGAATCCACAAAAGCACATGATTACAAACTGACCAAACAATATGTTATATAAGAAATGAATTAAGCCATGCCCCGATGAAAAAGGACTCCATTCTAGTCAAGTAAGCTCTCCACAAACCCCCTTGGGGAGGCCTAGAGATGGAATAAATTTGCATAAGTTACAGCCACTGCCCCACTGACTAGAGAGGCAATAAGAGAAGCCTACAGAGGCCCAGATGTGCTGTGATTTCAGAACACAGAGAGAGCTTTGAGGAATCTACATCATGGCCTGGACCCCTCTCTTTGTGCCTCTTGTCTATCTCTATGCAGGTGAACTTCTCTACCCTCTCCCCAGGCTCACAGGAGATCTGAACACACATGGAAATCCAAGGATGAGTCCTTATACTTGGACATTTATACCTTCTCTTTCTTACAGGTTCTGTGGCCTCCTATGAGCTGACCCAACCACCTTCAGCATCAGTCAGTGTAGGAGAGACTGTCAAAATCACCTGCTCTGGGGAGCAATTGCCAAAAAAATATGCTCATTGGTTTCAGCAAAAGTCAGACCAGACCATTTTGCAAGTGATATACAAAGATAGTGAGCGCCCCTCGGGGATCCCTGAACGATTCTCTGGGTCCAGTTCAGGGACAACAGCCACCTTGACCATCAGTGATGTCCGGGCTGAGGATGAGGCTGACTATTACTGTTTGTCATCATATGCTGAGGGTGATAGCAGCTTCTTCCACAGTGATTTAGGCAGATGGGGAAGTGTCTCTGTAACTTTTTCTCTGTAACTTGTATCACCTTCCTGTAGCTGAGGAACATATCTGGCTGGGCCTAGCTCACCCACATCTGAGACTTGCAGACCCTTATTTTTACTTCTAGCCCTCTATCAGGTTCTGTAATGACTATATTGGGTAGGTTTGTAGCTGTTTGGGATCAATATCTGGACTTTTACTTAGGTGAAGACTGATTAGGAAAGGGCACATGAGTATAGAACAAGATGGGACATGTATGCATGTTCCAGGTCTCCACACTTCCTTAACATGAGGTGAGAGTCTCCATAGGACAAATGCTCTGGGTTATTTACTTCAACAGCTCAACTGCTTTTCTCCTAAAGTCCAAAACAAGCCAATATATTAAACAGGGTAATTCAGAAAAGTGGATATAAATGGATTCCTGTTAGATAAGAACCATCAACTGAATCTTATGTGTCTGCAGTTAGTAGAGGGGCTTTCAGTGGAATATTTAATTATAATTTGCCTCCTAAGGTTCATGACCTATACAGAAAGTCTCAGTTTAATGATATCCTGAAGCTAAGAACTCAAGACTCCTGTATCAATTTAGGATACCCTCAAAAGTGACATCCTAGGGTTACTTTATTTTCTCCCCACTGCCTTGTCCTTATTGTGTATAAGCGCTTCAGTGGTTCAAATTTCGGTTGGAAATAATGATTCAAGAAACCAAATAATGGAGAACAAACTATCTTTAATATGGAATATCAAGGATCTTGATATCTAAAAGGTATTGGTGTAACTAGTGTAAATATGCAAATGCCCCTACTGCTTGCAATTTTTAATTGTCCTATTGAAAACAGAAAAAAATCCTCAAAAATTTGGTACATTGGTTTATGGAAATGAGTTAGATCCATCCTGGTGATGAGTAGACAAGTCTACAATGTACCAGAAAACACAATTTATCCATGAACTAATCATGTCAGATGGGATTAACCAAATCTCCTTCATTCTAACTGAATCTCAATGACCAGTAATGCTAATTGGAGCTATATTCATTTTGTCACTTACTGTTGATCAGGAAAACATTCTTCATTACATGAAACTCCACAACACAGTCCTGGTGTGGACTCCACATCTAGTTGTGGTAGTTCAAGTTGTTGCAGGAGTTCAATCCATTTAGCCAAAGGTGAGTAAAATTAGGCCCATTATGGTGATTTAATGGCAGTGGAATGGGTTCTGTGTTGAAGAGAGATATATGGAATTGCATGGCTGTGAGTGAGTTATCGATAGGTCCATAGGCAATAGTTTTGACAAAAGCATTTAAACAAGGAAATATAATGCCATCTATTGTAAAATCTGTGACTGTGAATGTTCATTTGGAACTCATGCTCACCTCTGCCCAGGCAGGGAAAGCACATCTACCCTACTTCTCTCAACCTGACTACACTAAGAATACTCTGAACAAAGAAATGGCACCAAAAGCCCAGTATCAAGTTTCTGTCAGCAGATGCAACCCACACTTTTGAAATGACTACCCAAGTACCCAACCATGGGTATTGCTTTTGACCATATTGGTGCACAGACCCAGCTCCTGGCTGGCACATCATCACTCCTCACCTAATGTCTATAAAACCTCTCTGCTTTAGCCCAGTTGTGTGACTTCCCTGGCTATGTTCTTTGGGACCTATGGACCAGCCCAGGAACAATGAACAACAAGCCTGCATTTATCTGTCTTTAATCTTGTCTAATCTTGTCTGGTCTGGACATCTGCATTGGTAGAAACATATCAATGAGAACAAGAGCTAGATAGTCACAATGAAAGAGGCCATCAACATGTAGGCCTTAAAGAATAGCATGCTAATGACAGCACAGACTTTAGTTTCTGACACTGAGCTGAGGTTATGGCAGATCCAATAGTGATCAAAATCCAAGTTGGTATGTCCTTGAATATATAGCTCTATCATCAGATATACTGTTTTCATAAGATTGGAGTTGAAGAACACTGACACCCATAGAATGAGTTATCAGTCAACTTGAGGCCTTTCATATTTATTTCTGAAATCACCATTTGATGATGATTACATAGAGTATATATTCTGTCATTACCTACAAATACATTGATTTGATAAGGATCTTTTCTAATCTTATAAGAAAAACTATAAAGGCAATCAACAAAGTGTCCCATGAAGGGCTCATCAGGTAAGAGTGCTCTCTACCATTCTGACAGCCTGAATTTGATCTCTGAAGTAGACATGGTGGATGGAGAGAACCTACTTATACAAATGGTCCTCTGATGTCCACAAGTTCACTCTGTGAATTATTTATGTTGTGGCCTGTGTGTGTGTGTGTGTGTGTGTGTGTGTGTGTGGGTGGGTGTGTGTGTGTGAGAGAGAGAGAGAGAGAGAGAGAGAGAGGGAGGAGAGAGACACACAGAGACACAGAGAGAGATAGAGAGACAGAGACAGAGAAGAGACACAGACAGAGAGAATTGGGGTAATTTGATAGAGTTTGTTTCTACCCATAGGACATATCTGTGAACAAAATAAAGATGATGTTGCAAGAAGGATGGGGACACAAGGTTTGAATATCCTTAGAGCATTCAGATTACTAAACTTTGCTCCAAGAGTAAGAAATAGACTGGGGAGAGTCACTTTCAGAAAAACCCAGTGGGAGAAAAAAACAACTCTGACAAGGACCAGCTGATAGGAAGAAGCAGAAACCAGCTGCTCTGTGAGAGAAACAGAAAAGAGCTGAGTCTCTATATTGAGGGCTCATACTGTTCACTTGTCAGCATACAATCTGCTCTATTGGATTTCACACAAGTAAAGTGACTGTCAATATTATCATCTCCTGCCTGGTCTCTTAGGAATATATTTCTAAGCTACCTGGATATTTATCCTATTAAAGGGGTGATGTACATACTAATTCATCATTAAATGAATATAAAAGATGTATAAGTTACATTATAGAGACTAAGCAGACTATATATGTACTCAGGAATATAACATAAATTAATGGAAAGAATTTGGAAAATAATTTATTGGTATTATAATCTGAAATGTGTATTTTAGAAAACATCCTCAACCACAGTCCATTAAACTTGTAAAGGTAGAAATCAGTTGTGTTCTTTCTGTGCATATTATTGAATCTCTGATTTATTAATCATATGCTATGGATATTAACAAGTCTCAAAATTTATAATTTGTATAAATGGGCATCTAGGACTCTTGCACTGCTTACCAGTAATAGAATTTATATTGAAAAGCCTGTACTCTGCCATCTTAGTTTAAGAGAACCATTGATAAAAGAATGGGTATTGCTGGGACCAAAGGTATCTCACCTACACAGCAGCTGACTTACTTGTTGGACCTTACTCTTAAGTTTTACAGTACTACTTTTATAGAATTGTAGATTCTGGATGAAAAATTTTCATATCTATTTGCCAAGTTGAGACATCTGACCTCACACTTCATTGTTTCTCTACAATGAGAATAAACCAAAAGAACCAACAAGCTGGGAGTTTAAAAGAACAAGACACAAAGATATGGCTCAATAAAATTAAGGAGATGTCTCTTAAATGCTTGAATGATGCCACAGGAAATACAAACATAAGACTGGTGGAAATGACAAAGACAAATCAGGACTTGAGAATGGAATTCAGTAAGGAGACAGAAATATTGGAGAGGATTCAATTTGAAAGGGGGATGAAATTGACAACCCCAGCTTCTCAACTAGAAAACTCAAAGTAAAGCCATAAAAAGCAGAGTTAATCAAGCTGACATATCAGGACTCAAAGACAAAGTAGAGGATCTACACAAAATAAGCAAGCAATAAGAAAAATTAAAGAACACACACACACACACACACACACACACACACACACACACACACACACACACACAGAAACACATCATAAGTACCCAGTGCCATGAGATAAGTCACTCTAGAATTATAGATATATTTTAATTTATTTATTTTAAAGATGAGGGCTTTTTGTTATTGTTTAGGTTCTTTCACTTGTTTCTATCAGATTTCATTCTTAAATTCTTAGTTTAAAATTTTCAGTTTGGAGGAGTGTAGAAATTAATTTATTGATCTTAGGATTTAAGGATTCATGGAATATTGGTTTTTAATATATTCCCTCATAAAATTCTAATTTTCTTTCACGTTTGTGGAAATTTTCATCTGTTTGTATATGATTCTTTATTGAGACCTTTTTCTCCTGCCAATGTGTTTTGTCCACTCAAATAACCATCTCTAAGATTAGCTGATTCTTTGTATGATTTTCTTTTATATTGATTCCTGCTTTGATTACTATTATTTCTTGCCAATATGGGATAGTGTAAAGATTTGTCACTAATGTTGGTTTAATAAAACACTGATGGGCCAGTAACCTGGAAGGAGTTGTAGATGGGGCTACCAGACTAGGAGAATGCTGGGAAAAGGAAAGACAGTAGATGCAGTAGCCAGCAAGACACACAGGAAGCATGATGGGAATGTCTTACTGAGAAAATGTACCAAGCCTCATGGTTAAACATTGATAAGAATTATGGGTTAATTTAAGTTGTAAGAGCTTGGTAGCAATAATCCTGAGCAACAGGCCAAACAGTTTATAATTAATATAAGAATCTGTGTGATTATTTGGAACTCAATGGTTTCATGACTACACTGGACAGAAACATCTGTCTACACGTGCCATTGACATGGTTTGATTTATTTTGTTTTTGCTTTTCCATTTTTTTTCAAAAGAGTTTTGCCATTAAGCCATTGAATTGTGCTATTTCTGAGTTTTCTAAGTAGACACTTGGGACTGTAAATTTCCCTCATATCATCATTTTCCATGTGTCCCATAGGATTTATGTTGTCGCCTCATTTTCATTTTGTTTCAGAAAATTTTAAATTTCTTTTTTGATTTCTATTTTGTCCCTTGTTCACAATGAGTTGGTTAATTTCCATGAATGTGTATTTACTAAAAATGGGTTTTCTGAAAATTTTAAGTTTCATCATATTTTATCCCAATAGGACATCAGAAATAATTTCAGTTTCTTCAGTATGCA